CTGGCAAATAAATGCATTTACTGTGAATAAATACACATACCACCTCTTTTTCAAAAGCTAAATTGTCTTTTATATATATATATATGCATATGTACATATCATTGTTTTTTAAAATTCATATTACTAATTGATACTAACAATTCAAGATTAGCTCCTCACAGGAACATCCGATCTAGAACCCTTAAAGTTGAAGTAACACTAAACTCATGAGTTACATCTTTAAAAAAATGCATTCAAGTACCTTAACTTTTAACAAAAATTGTATCAAAATCATATTAAATCATCTCTGAATTGGTGCTGACGCTGTCCTTCCTTCCTGAAGGGTGGTTACTTTTGTTCCCCATGGTCCCTGTGTGTGTTGTAAAGTAGCCACCGCTCCAAGCTCGCTCCTGTGATGAACTACACTCTCAATACAAATTACTAAACTAAACATTGTAGTTGAGATTGTAGTCTATCACAGTAGCAAGCGGTGACTACTGTACAACACACACATGGACCATGGGGAACAAAAGTATCCACCCTCCAGAAGGAAGGACAGTGTCCGCACCAATTCACAGATGATTTGAGGATCTACAGCCAAGTGATACACAGATGATATACATTTCTATTTAGTTAGGGTACATGAATGTATTTTTAAGATTTAACTCCTGAGTTTAGTGTCACTTTAATTAGGAAAACGTCCCTTGGATTAAAACACTATCCAAAAGGCAAAGTAATGTGGAATATTTGGCATTAAAGATAATAAAATATTCTCATGCAGTTATGCGTAATTAGCTTTAGAATGGGCCCCAGACAAGGATAGAAAAAAATGGAGTTTAGCGTCACCATACATGTTACAATCCCATACACTTTTGATTTACCAAAACTAGGGATGCACCGATACCAAGTACCGTACTTGGTACAAGTACAAGTACAGATACTTTTCGAGCTCCAAGACTAGACTAGAGAAAAATTAAAAAGTTAGGAGGCAGCTGTCATTTGTAAGGAGCACACGGAGCTCCTGGGATTTGTACATCTCTGTTTTAATGTATGATTTTGTTTTTATAAACATATATAAAGGGATGTACAGGTACCATTTTTGCAAGTACTGATACTTGCCCAAGTACTTACAGACACAAATACTGATACATTTTTGTTTATTGTCATGTGACTGTTTTTCTAAAACAATATCAACTAATGATTTCAGGACAGTGGTGGAGCGCCAGAGCTAGGTCCCAGCAGCAACCACTGCCACCCTGGTAGTTGTCATGAAAATGACAAGCATCGGCACTGGTATCTGAACTGGTATCGGTGCATCCCTAACCAAAACTAAGGGGGTTATTCACTATGGAGCCAAAGGATACAGCCGTAGCTTGGGCTGATCCTGCGGCTCTCTTCGGCCGCCTCTGCCCTTCGGTTCAGTCGAACCGAAAGGCTGCTGTACGGGCTATTCACAATAGCCCGTACAGCAGCCGAAGGCAGCCAAGCAGCTCAGCTGAGCCGAAGGCATGTGCTTCAGCTTGACTGAGCCAAAGTGACAGCAGAAGCGTGGAGAAAGGTCGACCAAAGCCGACCGATCTTCACACAATTGACAGCTGGGTAGAGCCAGCCATGATCTCATGGCTTGCTCCGCCCAGTTGTAATGACAGATCAGCATCCCCAAATGACCTGGGGATGCTGATCTGTCATTAAACAATAACAACTGGGCGGAGCTAGCCGTGACGTCATGGCCGGCTCTACCCAGTTGTTTTTCATTGGCCGAGAACTGCTAGAAGACTCTGGCAGGTGCTGACAATAGGACAATTCTATTTTTTATCATTTTTTAAATAATTTTTCTACTTGTTTTTTTTTTTCTTTCTTTTCACTTATTTTCTATTCTGCTGGGTAGCACAGAGGTACCGGTACAGAGCAGAATAGCAGAGGCTATTAACTCACTGCCGTTCAGCCTCTATGAAAATAGGGGCGAACAGCAGTGAGTGAGCTGCCGGAGCTTCAGCTCAGCTGATCCAGATGTTGGATCGGATGAGTCAAAGTCCCTCTGCACTTCGGCTCAGCTGATCATGCAGAGCATGTTCGGTTGGCCGAAGGCAGCTGATGTACGGCTGCCCGCAGCAATGGTGACACTTAAAGCAGCCCTGGTGAGCCCACACAACCCTGCTGAGACCGCAAACAGCCTCCTGAGCCCCCGCACAGCCTTGGTGAGATTCTGAACAGGGCACCAACAGTTGCACCAATTGAGGCTAAAAAAGACTAGCATTAAGGCACAGGGCATAAGGGTGGTTGTGGAGGAGGGTCTTCTTTTTCTTCAAAACCTGCAGTATGAAACACTGGCTGGTGAACAGGAAAGAGGAAATGTTTGTGTGAAATGTGGTGATGGGAAAGGTGATGGCTCCAATTCCAGCCTCTCTTTTGTGCTCCTGGCCCTGCCAGTCTGCCCCTCATCACTTCTGGAGGCAGAGAGGGCTAAAGTTCTGTTAAACCCTCTAGACAAAGCTAGAGGCAGCAGATGCTGCTTATATGGCATGAACAAGGTCGAAGAGGAATATTCAGCTACAGAAGCAGGAGAGTGTGGAGGGTGTGCCAGCTGCTCTTTCTTTTGGGCTAAGTGATCCCTTCACAGAGCTCGGTGGTGGTTACTCATGCAAATAGTGCCCAACTAGTTACATTACTTTTCTCGTTTCAAGTGCTGAGCACAGATGTTGCATGGTTTTGTCGGAAGCTGAGGTACAAAAGGACACCCAGACAGTAATGGTCCTGTGACCAGACCTATTAGTTGGCTGCAGCTGTTCCTTCATACCTCTGCTGAAAGATGAGGACTGCCTTATGCAGCTGATAATCGGCCACTGTGTTGGAACCCTGCTGTTTTTGGGCACACTGCTCCTTTTCCCGGATGTTGCCACTGTGAAACCTTCTCCTTGTCTTCCCCCTGCTTGTCATTCTGCTGGCCCATGCCTTCAACCCATGTTAGGTCAAGCACGTTATCATCTACCACCTCCTCCTGACTGGATTCAAACTCAAACAATATGCACCAGGGGGTGGCACCCCTCTTTCTAAATGCCTGTGGTCCGCCTATTCAGACACGGCCTATAAAAGGGCTGACCATAAACACTCACCCACCCTGCTCTTCCTCCCTTAGCGGGCCCTCCTCCTCTTCCTCCTTAGAGTTAAGTAGGGATTGGGAATCAGTACATGTTTATCTTTATCCTCTGCCTCTGGTTGTAACACTAACTTGTTGTGACACATTTGTACACTAAGGTATCTGGTTTATTTTTTCTAACAATGGTGACACTAACTTGTGAGTCAGACACAAGAGATATGACAGACCCCCTTAGAAATTGGATTGACTTTTAGATTGACTAAAAATATATGGACACTTGTAATGACTGGCAAACGCTAACTAATGGTTACTGTGTAGACAAGCAGCTCTGGGTGGGGCTACATACCAGGTGATCACAGGTGTTCAATTCTCCTGGCTTTTCAAACTTTGTATTAAATGTTTCCAGTAATACAAAGAAACATACGGTATAAGGCATCATAGATAAAAGCTATAAATGTATGTTCAGTATGACATAAGTGCCCAAACTACATATAAAATGCATGGCTCAGAAGAAAAATTACAGTGAAAGCACCATCATATGTAACATATGATGCATGTCTTATGCCCAAAAAAGGACAAAGACAGGAATGGATGACATAAAGAAAACTTAAAAGAAAAGTACTGGGAAATAGAAAAGGTAAGACAAAAGAAAATAAAAGGGTTAGAAAGGCTTCCGAGAATAGAGGGATATGTTTCGGCAATGTAATATAATCAGCAGTTCAAGGATCCTCATAAATGCCTAGGTATCGCAGCCAAGGATCCCGCACCTTCTCAAATTTGCTTTGGGAACCCCGAGGGATGCTAATTTTTCATGTACCATTATCCATGACAGTTTGGAGACAACTTGTCTGAAGGGAACTGTAGGAGTCTTCCATGCCTTTGCTAAGGAAATGTTGGCAGCCAGAAAAAAGAATGACAACAATTTATCTTTGAACCTTGATACACCCGGAATAGGATGATTCAACAGGACATATTGTGGATCTGGAGGAGGTCGGATCCTGAGTACTCTGTAGATCAAAGCGTAAAGTCTATTCCAGAAGGAGCGCTTTTCAAACTTTTAACTATCAATTGATCAATATCATAGAAACATTAGTGTAATGCTGCCAAAGGATGTAACACTGATTACATTGAATGATAAAAAAAAATCAAATAGGCAACAAACACTTATGTAACAGCTAAATAAATCATCAGAAACTAAGTACAACATATTGTAAATAATTTAAACGAGCAGGATATTGAATCACCTCATATTATCGATAACTAAAAGAAAAATTATCATAAAAATTCTGCCATGTTAAGAGTGCTGAAATGTTTCAAAAATACTTAGGGTGAAGAGTTTCGAGAAGGCAGGAGCAGTGAACAATCTAAGGCAACAAAGCTGAACTGGAAAGTGACCTGAATTGGAGAATTTTTTTTAAATTTTGGCCTAGATTGTTTACTTCTCCTGCCTTCTCCTAACTTTTCACCCTTTTGTGAATAACCCTGTAAATGTTCTAAAGCTTCTGGCTGGCAAGGCATTTTGAGGTTTTCAACATGTGGATGACCAACTGCCCAAAAACTGCAGTTTTTTGTTTACAACCAGGGCAAGTGTTTGGGAGGGGGTGTTATTTTAGTATCATGATGGCAATTTCTGAAGAAAGGCTCTCACAGCTGCATTGAATTGCTTTCAATCATGGGGATCAGAGATTAATGCAAATTGAATGTTCATCCCCTTTAAGTCTTTTACTGTATATGTAATGTTTTACTGTATATGTTATACTGTATAAATATATGTGTGTGTAACCAGAAACATTTGTGACTGGAAGGCTTGTGTGCTTCAAAATAATTATTTCAGAGATACCAAACCAAACTTGAATGATTAATACAAACTAAAATGTAAAAATATAAAAATAGATGATACAGGCAACTCTTCTTTCTCTTTCAGGCATTCATTGGAAATACAAATGCTGACAGTGTTGTTCAACATAAGCTTCAGAATCATATAAGAGCAAGATACCTACGTTTCACTCCCTTGAACTGGAACTTGAATGGCAGGATAGGAATGAGAGTAGAGGTGTATGGATGTACATACAGTAAGTAGCAAAGCATTTACTGCTATTTTTACTTTTTTTACCACTGTTCTGGGACCAAACCAATATATTGCTGGAAGTATAAAAATACTTTAGCGTTCTCAAGCAAATTGTTTATGTCTGTTCAGATAATGTACATTTTGTGTTTGATCATGTTTTGTGTATAGGAACATAAAAGTATTTGTTAGTTATATCAGCTTAAAAAAAAAGTATATATTGAGTATTTGGATATTATTATTATTACCGTGTTTCCCCGAAAGTAAGACCTACCCCAAAAATAAGACCTAGCACTATCTTCAGTGATTTCTGTAATATAAGACTTACCCCGAAAATAAGACCTAGTTCGGTGGTAGGTCTTATATTACAGAAATCCGCTAGGTCTTACGGTACTTCCGGGGTAGCTGCACATAAACTGTGTAAAGACCGGCTGCAGCTCCCCGCCCACACGCCCGCCCACACGCCAGCCGGCCACAGCTCCCGCCCACACGCCCGCCCACAGGCATCCGCCGGGATCGGCAACAGTACGCCGCCTTCCGGGACCTCGTCCACTCCTCCCCCAGCCAGGTAAGACATCCCCCGAAAATAAGACCTAGTGTCTTATTTCGTGCCAAAAAAAAATAAGACAGTGTCTTATTTTCGGGGAAACACGGTATTACAATAATAATATTCTTGAAATATAGCATAGGCCTTCTAGCAAAAAAACAAAAACAAATAAAAGCTGCCTAGATCTGCCTTTTCAACCTTTTTACTACAGAGGAGCCATTAAAATAATGTTTAATGCTCAGAGACATTCAGGGCTGATTTTTTTTTTAACACTACACTGCTCTTTACAACAAAATTATTTTCAGTAATAATCATGGAATGGAACAAATAAGAATGGTCACAAAAGCTGTGCCCTTTATATTCTTGGCCAAAGGAAAAAGTTCCTCTTACATTAATGGTCAGTGGAAAAGTACCCTTATACATTGGTGGTCAGTAGAAAAATGCTCTTTCACAATGGTGGTCAGTGGAAAACTGGCCTTTACTTTGGTGGTCAATAGAAAAGTGACCCCATACATTAAGGGGTCTATTCACGAAGCTGCCGAAGGATCTAGCCGAAGCTTTGGCTGATCCTTCAGCTAGCTTCGGCCCCAGGACCCCTTCGTTTCAGTAGAACCGAAGGGCTGCTGTACGGGCTATTCACTATAGCCCGTACAGCTCCCAAAGTCGGCCGAGCGGCTCAATCGAGCCGAAGTGAAAGCCGTAGCTGGCCGAACGGATGATCATCATCTCACGGCTGGCTCTGGCCACTTGCAGAGAGATGCAGAGAGAACCCGGCGGGGCCACTATGATATCACAACTGCCTCTCCATGCTGCTTGCTACTGACTGCTGGGCGGAGCGGGCGGTCATCTCACGGCTGGCTGATGCACAGATAGATCAGCATCCCTGGTTACCAGGTAACCAGGGACACTGATCTCCAGACAGCCCAACTTTCCCGGACGCTCCGGGAGTTTCCCTCTATTAGATAGTGGCTCCCGGCCGCCCGGGAGAGAAACACTTTCTCCCAGAAAGGTTTACTCTGCTCGATCGAGTAAACCTTTCCCTGCTCTGTTTTTTTTTTCCCTTTTTCTTCTGACATCGGAGCCGTTGGCTGCCGTCATAATAAAATACAATTTAAAAAAATTACCACTATTGCACCCGCCTACTGCTGCTGTCAATCAGCAGAGGGGACCTGAAGTTCTCAATCAGGTCCCCTCTAGTGATTGACAGCAGCAGAGAGCGGGTGCAATAGCTAGTTTGCTATTGGCTATGGCAAAGTGAAATAGCCAATAGGAATCTAGCTATGCATTCCTATGGTGATTTTTAAAATTATTATTCTGAAGGCAGCAGAACTGCCCGGCCAATAGAAAACAGTTGGGTGGAGCTAGCTGTCACTGCTAGCTCTGCCAAATCCTTTTCTATTGTATTTTTTACTACTTTTTAAACTGTTTTTCCATTCTGCTCAGTACCACAGAGGTAACGAGCAGAATAGCTGAGCCGAATGCCGCATATATGAGAATAGGCCGAACAGCATAGCCTGCCGGAGGTTCGGTTTAGCCAATCCAGATGTTGGATCGGCTGAGTCGAACTCCTTCTGCTCTTCGGGTCGGCCGAACATGCTGTCAGTATACAAGTGCACTCATATATTGAAGGGTTAGTGGAAGAGTGGCCAATTGGAATAATTCTGCCCCATTACAGCAAAAAGGTAATTGGTGTGCATTTCTTACTTACATAAGGGATGAGAAGAGAAGCTATTTTGGTCCCCCACCACTGATTCTGCCAAGGGGCATTTTCGAACTATGAAAGTGTCAGGCAGGAGATCAACCTACCATTGGTCGCTGCTCAAGGAACCCCTAGAAACCTCTTGAGGAACCTTAGAGTTCCACAGCACACTGGTGAGAAAGGCTGCCCTGCATTGGGGATGAGATACACATTCAGGTCGACTGTGAGTTTGATCCAATCCCAGCCTGCCCACAGTTTGCCAATCTGGAAGCCCCCTTTAAAATAAGGGGGTCCCAAGAGATTTTTTTTACCCACTATGTGAATATTTACCTCTTATTACTTATTACAAAAATGCAAAGTAAATAAAAACACCAAGGCCATTGAAAAAATCCTTTAATGAAGCAAAGAATTAAAAATATATTGGCCCCCTATATAAATAGAACATTGGTCAAGTCTTCCAGCAATGTAAATCCATTGTTAATAACAATGAGCAATTCTTCAATAACTGGCTGACATGGCGAGCCAGGAAGCTGTAATTACAGGAATAGAGGTGGGAGAACATAATTGTGCTGGTAAGTCATCAGGGCATCGCTCATCATGATTGACATTAGTTCTGCCTTGCTGGAAGACTGACGTTGGATTCACATGAGGGGACATTGTTTATTTATTTATTAATAAAGAACTTTTTCAATAATGTGGGTGTTTTCATTTCCTTTTCCATTTTTGTGTAAATGAATAACAAGGGGTACTATGTACCCCTTACTTATTTATATCTCGAGGCCCCTTATTCTAGGCCAAGCAGGGGATGTGGGGATAAGACCTTCATCACCGCAGATGTTAGAGGCAAGAATAAACACAATCCATGGTGTAAACCTGTATACAATTCTTAAAAAGCTTTAATAAAATCTACTCACGTGTAAAAAAAATCATGGATAACCACAAACACAATCCTGAGATCCCAGACTCCCCCTCATTAATAAAGCTTTTCAAAAATTTTATACGGGTTTACACAATGGTTTGTGGTAATCCATAAGGAATTGCTGGCTGCTTTTAATTCCTGGGGAAACAAAGAGGCAGAATTAAGTTTGGATCTGAATTCTCGGCTTGGTGATTCTTAAAGCGATTTTTTTTTTAATTCTTTATTTTTAGACAAAAAGTGTGGGGTACATTGAAAGAGAGAACATGTGGAGGCCACATGGTCTCGCATAATGTGTAAATAACAAACAGTGAGTCATATAGTATAAAACTCGATAACAGGTTGTAAGATCGGTTCAGGTAATTACGTTTGCCCCCGCCCTTAAGGCATTTTATGGTGAACAAAAATAAACCAACACAACACACAAACCAAAAGAAGAAGGGAACACTTAGTTGGGGCGGGTGGTCGGGTACAGCCCCACTAAATGGGAGGCCAGCCCGAACACGGTCACCCCTCTACATACTAGGCAAACAGAGACAAAAACTGACTCACAAACATAAAGCACAAAGAAACGTAGAAATAGCAGAAAGGAAAGTGCAGAATGCAGTCCAGCTCCCTGGCGGCCCCCAGTCCTATCATCCCCAGTGCCATACATCCTCCACAGATTGGGTGGCATGGTTGGGCAGCACCTCAGTCTCCTGCATCCTCCCTGCACACTGTGGTGAAAGCATCCGAGCCCCTGAATTGGACCCAGGCTCCCCATGTAGCCACATATCTGGACTGCGACTCCCTTAAACTGGAGGTTAGAGCCTCCATCAGTCTAATCTCCTCCACCCTCCTCATCCACATATTCATGGAAGGAGAGCGGGTTTGTCTCCACAGAGCTGGTATGCAGGCTCTAGCTGCGTTCATTAGGTGAATCAGCAGCAAACGTTTATATGCCTTTCGGGAAAGCGGGGCCAGGTGGAGAAGATAGACCGACGGGGTGAGGAGCAGCACGTGTCCCGTGATCTTCTCTATTGTAAAGGCAATGTCGACCCAGAACGGTTGAACTTTCGGGAAGTCCCAAAATATATGCAGTAGTGAGCCCACCCCTGTTTCACAACGCAAACACACCCGAGAGACCGATGGATAAATAACATGAAGGGTCGTGGGTACCCTGTACCACCTGGTCAAGAGCTTATACCCGGCTTCCTGGTACTTGTTAGAGATAGAGGATTTAAGGGCGAAGTATAGCATGGTGTCCACCTGCGTGGGACTAAGGGTCAGGTCCAGATCCGAGGCCCATTGTCTAATGAAATACGGAGGGGTCTGGTCAGGGGGGCTACGCAAACAATTCACCAAGTACGCCAGGGAATGTCTGATCGGCTCTGCCCGCATACACAGTGACTCAAAATCAGCAGCCGTTTAGGGCCCGAGATCTCCGAGAGGGAGCATAGGAAATGCCTCAACTGCAATGCGCACCACAGTCGCATTGGGGTATCTGTGGTTGCCTGGAGCTGGGCTATCTGTTTAGACTGACCCATCTCCTGGAAGTGACGCACCCTGGTGGCACCTGCGGAAGTCAAGGCTCTGGCCAGTGGGCCCTGCATTCCGGGGGGGAAGCCTGGGTTCCCCACCACCGGCGTCAAGGGCGATGTGGGGGGAGTAAATCCCGGAGACATGAGCGTCTTTAATATCGCTCCCATCGTGGCACGAACCAGCGGGTTCGGCCACGAGGATAGCGGCAGAGTCGGGGTTACCCAAGGAATGCCCCTCAGGGGCATCTGGCAACCCTCCTGTTCTAATGACACCCACAATTTTAATTCAAAGTGACAGCACCAATCCAGCACTACAGATAGGTGG